GAAGTTGCACGGCCGCTGCACTGGCGTGTTCGATTTCTACCAGTTCTGAACGAGTTCAGACCCAGTTCCTTAAAACTTTGCACCGGCCTTGGTGTCAGTTCGCTCTCCGTGCAAAAGCAGACAAAGAGAGCAGACGACACTCCTTGTCCGTCTCTGCTCGCGGTGCCATTTCACGAAGCTCTTGCTCAAATGTTTGCGATTCTTAATAATAACGATGAGACGGAGGCTGCATTTCCTATCATTGAAAGAAATAACGTACCCGTAGTGGACGCAGATTCGAGATCCTAACACAGCGTGGGAATTAGCTCCATTATGATATTCTGAATGCGTCTTACGTGCCTGCTCGCGAAGGCTTTCCTCCCTGTGGTAAGTGGTGCAACATTAACTCACGCAATTATTGTTTGATGCTACGTGGGTAGTTGCAGTGTTGATATTCTTCTTAAAACACACTGGAAAAGTGTTACACTCTTGATAGCACCCACCTTCAGATGCTCTTGGATGCTGAATGACGACTCCGATACAATGCAGAAGTCTGCGCTTTAGTACATTGGCCCTCTTATACCCCCGTAGTTGAGCACAATACTGCATGCTTTTTCGCTGGTATCTGTAACCGCCCACTAACGGGCCTGAAAAAAAGAAAAAAAAAGAAAAGCAACGTCGAGATTCGGCATTGCATGGCTTGGTAGTTCCAGGTGCATCTTGAGATTCGGAATAAACGCTTTAACTTGACGTCAAAGTGACGGTCGATTACTGTTTTGGTCGCCTAGGCGACGCTCTGGTTAGGCCTCCGTCTTCGGAGTGACCACTACCGCGCGCTACCTCCAGTTACTCCGGACGAGACAAATAATGCTGATGCCGCAAACCTCATCGAAATGCGAAACTCGAAAGGCTTGGAATGAATCTAATTTTAGCAAATGAATGTAAATTCTATCGTGGCGTACACAGTCGAAGGACACGAACGCTTATGAACAGGGTGGCCAGTTCCGCTTATTATAAGCGGATTTAGGCTTTTTTTTTTTCACCAAATCGCTAGTAGATTTTTCCAGTCGCTTGTCGCGTTTTTTGGGTTTATTTGCGTTTTCCCCGCAAATATTGTTATTTTATTGCTCGTCATGCTCATTGAAAGCGCGTTTGCCGTCAAAAACGCGAAAAACAGCCTGACCGTGTCGCAAGCTACCGTCCGTCACAAAGTACAAAACAAGTACTATCCACTCCCAAAGTTTTTTGCGCCTTGCCCAGCCAGTCGGCAGTCGCGGTCGTCGCGTCTAGTTGCCATTGTATTTTGTGCAAAATGGCTTCAAAGTGATCGAAGTATGGCGAAAATATATTGTAAAGAGTGGAAAAAGAAAACCCAGCTGAAGGACTGGCTACTACCAGTCACCAGAGACGATAAAAAAGCAGCGTGCAAGTGCGAGATCCGCGCTCATCATGCCGACCTCGTTCAGCACATGACAACAAGAAAACACGTGAGGAACTCTCGGCCACTTTCCAGCGCACGTTTGACCACCATAAGGGCTTCACCAAGTCGTCGCCTTCAAGAACGATACCAGAACTAGGGCTCAAGCTGGCATGTTATAGGGAGGGTGAATAGCATGTTACTGAGCGTGCAATGCCACTATTCGGCGGATAGTGGCATGGCACGCTGACTTCGTATTTCAGCGAGTTCGTCTTCGTATTTTAACCAGTTCTTTTTATTATTATTAATAAACTATTTTCAAGAATGTGTACATTTATTTAACTTTCGCTTGTTTTGGGCTTGTTCACGAAGGTCACGCCGCTTTTTTTGGGCTTGGTTGGGGACGACTATTTGCTTAATCACTCGGGCGCATCTGGCCACCCTGCTTATGAACTACAGAAAGCGAACGGTAACAGTTAAAATGCAGACAGAAAAGTATTTTGCGTTGAAGACATTTTTGGTACCGTCGAATAAAGAGACATTCAAAGAAAAAAATTCGTTTATATACTTTAAAACAAAGAAAACGCGAAAGGTCTCATCAATAGCATACGACGTGGCGTGAAGAAACAAGAGCCAACAGATGCAGATGCCTCATTGTGCTTCCGCTCCGGAAGCCAATGACAGCGCCAGCCTTAGCGTGGTGGCTGCACTGGTTCTGCGCCGCAGAGGGGGATCGGTAGCCGAGTGGGCTAAAGCGCACACCCCGCTCGACGCGCGTGGAGCGAAAGCTCGCGCTGCAGAACCCAGCGATACTGGGGTCGAGCCCCACCCCTGCCCGTTTCGATCTGGATGAGCATCGTACCGGCGTGCGGTCGTGTATCACTACTGCGTGGTGCACGTTAAAGACCCCAGGCTAGCGGTAGTACCGCACTGGCTAGATTGCTCATCTACAGCGTCTGACTCGTCGCAACTTTAATGGCTGACCAACTACACGCTGTATAAATATCCCCACAACCCCCCAATCTGCGCCGCTGCTGCAGGACGCTATACTCCGCGACAACTTTTCTTGGCAATGCAGTGGAAGGTACGCCCCGCGTCCCCTCTCCCATTTTGAGTGTACGCAGGCTCTCCTCCTCTCTTCGGAAATAGGGGAGGAGGAGAGCCTGCGTACGCTAGAAATGGGAGAGGGGACCCGTGACGTACCTTCCACTGCATTGCCAAGAAAAGTTGTCGCCGAGTATAGTTCAATAGCTCTCTGGCCGAATAGAAGAGACTTTTTGCATCAGCTTAAGTCCGGACGCTGCCGGCGCACCACGAGGTGCGCCGGCAGCGTCAAGAGCGCACCGTCATGGTGTTCCTCGCGTTTCTCAAACGCTCGGTCACGGACTTCTATACTCCGTTTCAAACATCGCGTGCAACGCTGGGAAAGCTACTGAAGTAGTGCGCATGAAAAAACACAAAAAAAAATGTGTTACTCCGCGAGATTTCGTGGACGAGCGGTACAAGGCACTGCTCTGGCGATGCCGACGTCTCGGTGGCGGTGGTTCGAATCCACTTAAAGCGCAAAGGTTTTTTTTTTTTTCCTTGACCTATTTTTTGTGCAAGATTGTGCGTATTGCGGAAGTGCATATTTCAATTCCTTTTTTTTTTGTCGTTTTTTATTGATAAGAAGGTAGACTAGGGGCTGGTGTTCCGCTTGAACTTGCGCCGGCCTCGTCAAAACGGAAGAACGGTCGAGATCCAGGGCGTCTCTATTTAAAGCCGTTTATTTACATGGTAGCGTGAAAATCAGAGAGTACCTTGAGAGTGTGGTGGACGGTCCTTTATATCACGAATACTGTGATTAGGGGACCGCACTGCCATTGGTCAGACGGCTTCGCATTCCCTCACGTGATGTGACTTCATGGAAGTTTCCTTCAGAATCGGAATACTCGCCGGTGTATGGAAGAAGTCATCCAGACGGCAGTATCTCGGTGCTCTGGTGCCGGCGCCCCCATGAACCGGGAGTGATTCACAATAGACGCGTACACAACACACGGCACTCGAGATCAGGATCGAATGTTGTTTCCTTTTCGAGGAAAGCAGGGGCCTCGGAATACAGGCACGGGCATGTGCGTCGTTTGCTTAGCCGACCAAGGTTAAGGTGCCTCAGGCAGACGGAGCCGACCAAGGTTACGGTCCCGCAGGCAGAAGAACCCAGACGCTTCGGAATGCAATCATGGGCACCGGCTGCTGTAAGGTCCCGCAAGCAGACGGAGCCGTAGGCACGATTCATCACCGACACAGCTCCTTCTTGAAGCTTGTTTCACTTTGAAGCCATAAGGCCGATTTCAACACCAGAAATAACAGAAGGCAGTTCACAACACGGTCTGCGTGCTCGGAACTTTCACGTTGCGAGGTCTTCGCTTCGGGGACGCCACCTTGCCAGACACTCCGGTGTCGTTACTGACTGTCTCCAGGACCTCACGGACCGACGTCTCCGGGAAACACGTTCTTGAACTCGCGTACACGTTGGCGATCACCTGCTTGCACTTTTGCGAGATCTTCACACAACGGATCTTCGAAAATATCCGAGCAGGAAAAGAAAGCATTCCCGCGTAAGACGCCATCTTCTCGAAACCGGCGAGGCAGGGGTAGGGTGTACTAGAAGGGGAGGTGTGCCATCCGGAGGCCGCGCGAGCGTCGCGATGTGCAAAAACTCCGTTTGGGGGCGCCGCGAGGCACAGCGGGGCCAGCGGAGCAGAGCAGCCAGGCTAGGCAGAGGCTAGCCGACGCAGGCGTTGTCGCAGCAAACGGGTGATCTTCAATTAAGGAAGACTAGGTTGTATTTGTATTCTCTACTGTTCTGAAAGCTCTCTATACTATGTTGAATTGAGATAGTCAACTTAATCTCACTGCGCTGTGAAAGAGCGCGGCCGGCTTTCGAGCCGGCCGCGCGGCAAAAGACGGCAATCGCATCATCAGCTGCACTGGTGCTTCCTCTTTTACTGTGCTATAAAATTGCTGCAGCTTGGAACTTTAGATTGCTGGAATCTAGTCTGCTGAAATCGGTTTCAAACGTTACAGCTGTACATAAAGAATTTAGCCAGTGTGCCAAAAAAATATTGGGTTGTATGTTCATACAGCCAAGAACTTGGTCTGCCTCCGAGCCCAGGATCCCGGATTTTTTGGCGCAAGTTTACGTTTCATGTGGCTCGAGCTACGGTGAGCCGTACTTCGTTACGGCGCCCACGCTAGAACGAGCCCAACTCTGAGTTTCGGACTTGGACAGGCGCTTATACGGCACAACCATTCTTCCAGGAACACGACCGCAGTTATGTAGCAGAGCAAACGCAGAGTCATTGAAGTCCCGATTTGAGAGCGCTCCCCCTTTGCATAGCGAACAGACTATAATTTCAATAACAAATTTTTTTGACATGTAAAATTATTGAACGTTTTTCATATGCAGCACCACTATAATCTTTTTATGCGGGAACTCTGGTCTCAAAATTGTCAGCCAGTTTCTGAAACATGCAATTTGTAATATTCATTTATTTTAGTATACTACGAAAAATGGGAACACAAATAGAACTAGTAATAAAAATTCAGCAGCACGAGTCCCTTTTTCATCAAACCTCGCAAGCTTTCAACATTTTTTGCTTGTCTGCCGTATCAACCTGTCACACATTCTTCTGCATCTTTTTCTTCTTCTCCGCGTCAGTTTTGTTTTTTCCCTTTAAAAAGAAGTGCAATCTAGTAACACAATAGAACTTGGTCACCTCCTTTGTGAGACACTCTGCGTGTTCTGGGCAGCCAATCCTCGGAAGGCCACCAAGAGCACTCACTACATCAACCATGAGCCCTGCATGGAGCTTGCAGGTGCTGAACACTTGTGTCAGTTTGTTCTCCAGGGTGAGGATTAACTTGTAGAGCTCCTTCGAGGGATACAGCAAGCCCCCCATGTCCCACTCCTTTGTGGCAGCTGCAGGGAGGGTTTCAGGGACCTGACATTGTTTCAAGAGGCAGAGTGCCTTGCATTCTTCGCACTTTGAAGTCGAAATTTTTTTACGAGCAGCATATCCAGCTGCATAGTAGATGAGCTGGGCGTCACTGGACTCACTAACACATGGTAAATGGTCCACTATGCTGTCCACTGCACCGAGGTCACTGATGTCCATCTGAGGTTCAGGGCTGTCTCTTCGACCTGAAACTTCATCCGCTTGAGGAGACAACAAGGACTCTAAGACGCCAGGCTCCACATTCCCAGTCCGAGTGCTTTTTACTAGACTGCAGAAACTGAGACACCTGCAGGGTGAGTGAAAACAAATGTTTTGATGAGTATACATTATGGAAAAATTAATTTTAATTTTACAAATACATGTTCACATGTATACAATACATTACCTCATTATCACGCAGAACTGTGCTGGAGTGGGGTTGTCATTGGCACCTGCTGATTGTCTTACAATTCCAAACAAACGCTCGATGCAATCCTGGCTCAGGTGGGATGTCATTAGGTATTGAAAGCCCACTTTTTGCGTCCGATATGCAAGCAGCTCTTTGGTGCTTTGAAGCGTCACCCTAAGTCCTTCAGACGTACTTCTGCTCAGGAACCCCCTCCCGTTTGCATGTCTTTCCCAATCATCCAGATAGGCGAGAACTGTGTCGATTACATGTTCCTGGGCTTTGCCTGGCCTGCAATGAAATAAAGAGGTATTTAAGCGTAATAAAAATAAAACAGCATTGTAAGCTGTGAAATAAGGCGTACCTGAGAGCTCTGGCAGGAAATCGTGACGTCATGACCCTGATGAAATCCACCATGAGGGCAACAAACTCGTAGGTCACCTTGAGGTTGGGATAGTGTTGCTCCACTTCTTTTTGGTGCACCATGAATGCCCGCAACATCAAAGGGCTGAATACTTGAAAGGCCAAGTCTACCCTCATTTTTTCGAAGCCGTTCGGGAACACATGTGCTCGGGTGAGCTTGTAGGCGGCCTTCAGTGTGACATCGCTTCGGTCACACTTCCACGTGGCTACGACATGTTCCCAGTGCACCTTTAGGGAATATGAACATGCATTAAAGTTGGAACCCACTCCAGCATTCAGATTAATAATGACTGCAATTTGGGAGGCCCTACAGCACCACATAAAACCTGCTAATATTAAAAAATTTATATAAGTTTGATGTCTCACCCTTCCATTTTGTGTGTTGAAACCTGTCTTCATCATCTGGTTCCGCACACACTTGACCAGATGGGGCACATCAGATATGAAGTAGACGAAGCGACTCGAATCACTGGGGTGGGCAGCTTTACAGCGCACTGACGTGGCAGAACCGTGAACACCGAAGTTGTGCCACATGGCACGATTCCAGGATGCCCCATCGCAACACACATAGTCGACAAGTAAGCCTGACTGTTCACACAGGATTATAGCTTCTGTTACAATCTTCGTCAGAAGATCAGCTTTGACGTTTCCACTTGATGCAAACACACCTATGAGACATATAAACAGAAATTATTTTTTCACAGTTCTCCTATACAAAAATTTAAACATGTGCTAAGTATCGAAAGAACACATCGGGAAGCATCAGAACCAGATCCGACATTTGTTAAGCAACTTCGCACCTTCGGGGCTTCTCGCATAATATCAGCTACCGTTCTGATGTTCGCCAAAAAGTTAGTTTTCGAAATAGTAGAGCCCACTTCTACCATTATTATCATTGTACATCTTAGTAACCTTCGAAAATTTTGTAATTCGATTCAGTGACAGGTCAAGAAGTTAAGGCAAGGGAAAGGAGAGGAGAAAACCTCTCCTCCAGCATTCTGTCTGCTTCCTCCTCTCCAGCCTTTCTCTCCCTCGTCCTATCTTCTTGACCTGTTACTGACTACAGAATATTTCAACTTGCTAAATTATATATCATGACCACTTTAGAAAGATATAGACCATTCTAGTCTGAATGAATTATTACCTATGACTTGTGTCCACTTTCCCACAAACGGCTGAAACATAAGGACAAGACCATGGTCTGCCTTGGTGTGCCTCTGATCCTTGGGAGTGAACGAGCCAAGGTCGACAAATCCTTGTATGGTTGAGGATGCAGACAGGTCCAAGTGTGCGGAGAGTTTCATTTCGTCTAGCACGAGTCCTCCATGCCGTTTCATCTCGTCCATAGCTCGAGTTTTTGCCTTGACCGCTCGCAAGAGGTTTCCATTAAAACCAAAAGTAGCCTTGAAGTTCTGGAGGTATGAGTAAAAACATGAGCAAAATTGTGAATGTTGAAAACTGAGAATGAGGCAAATGCACATACCTTGACATACTGCAGTAAGCATGTGCGTCCTGGCATCACGAGGATCTTGTGGCGTCTCAAGTGCTCATAGAGTCTAGCGCTCTTCATACGAAGGATGATGCATTCAAGCAGCCAGTCGCGGTTGTATTTGTAGCCTCGCATAGATGCTCGCTTCGACGCCTCGAAGCATGCTCGGACAGATTCTTGTTGTTTTTTTGGCAACTTTTTCAGCTAAAATAGAAAATAATGGTTTATGAATGTACTTTAAAGCACTGAAGATTGCAATAGAGACCAAAGAACAAACAACCAGACCACTAGGTCTGATTGTTTGTTCTTTGAATTGCTCTTAAGGATATCATATTTTGAGTTGACAGGATGGCAGTTGTCCAGCAAAATATTGTGTTTTCCCCCTTAAAGGTTTGAATTCCTTGCTGTGCAGGGCTATGTCCCTGTGAGAGCTCAGCTTAAGCAGCATGTATAGTAAAGGCTTTAAGAATACCTAGTCTTTAACCGCACCCATGTGAGGGTTCGTTCCAGAAGAGCAACAGTGCTATGCGCAACTGCTTAGTTAAGTCTGTCGAGTGCTCTTATGTGCCTTTCAGCTGAAGGTTATTTGACTCAGAGCTGCCGAGGTGAATTCTCTGTCATTTATACCCAAAATAAATTACTTACCTGTTCTTCAAAGGCTTCTTTGCAGATCTGCTCATTTTGTGCCTTCATTTTGTTCAGTCTTTCAAGCAATGTCACAACAGCTTTCTGTTTTCGTTTGAGGGTTCTTAGAGCACGCCCAAGTTTTTTGGCTGCAGTATCCAAAGGTCGTTTTGCTTTTGTCTTAACCCTCCATTGGCGGCCTTTTAGGAGTTGCCGAAAGTACTTGCAGCTTAAACAGGAGCGTTGGCCATCACCTAAAATATAACAGACCCATCAGTCAATACTCTAAAACATTACAGATATTCTAGCAAAGTCTGTGAAGAAATTCTTACCAGTAACCACTCCCATGCATCTATCTGAGAAGAGTCGAGTCCCAAAGAGGTGCTTCGAAGTCCCTTGAATGTCCACCGAAAACTCTCTGCTCTCTCCCCCACCAGCACAAAGCCTGAGTTTGTCCACACAGTTCAAGACATCATCAGCATCTGACACACTGGTGACAGTCTTCTCTTGATGCAGAAGTCCATTGAGATAAATCATGCACTGTGTGCGCTTGGTTTCGTCCGTTTCAAAGAGGACCACTTTTTCTAACAATAATGGTGGCTTTCTCTCTGGCAAAAACCTTGCCTTCTGGTAGGAAATGAGGCACGGCCTGTCGGAAAACAATTGTATTGACCAGAAATCAGAAGGACAGTGCAAGTTGGCAGTGAAGACAGCAGATGAAGCAGCAGCATGCTGATCAATTTGGGGCTCTTCTACTTGCGCTGCCGGTAGCTCCTCGACATCACCTGAGCCCACGCGCACTTTGTTTTGGGGTGGACCTTGAGGAGAAGTCTTCGCCTTTCGCTTGCGTTCTTTTGGCAGCTGTTTGGTGAGATAACTTGGTAAGTTCGGGAAGATGGTGGGTACAGCGTCTGCCCGCAACGTCGGTCGCTCTCGTGGATGAAATACTTCCTTCCCATCAATAACCAGGCGATTAGCACGTAGTATGTACCTGAAAAAAGATATGAAAATTATCAGCACGACTCCCGCCACCCTTACTGCGTACGTCAGCTTCTATTTACATGTACTATCGCGGACAATATGAAAATGAACACCTATCTGCCTTCTTGCTAATTTACGGCTTCCAGAAGCTCCATTAACTCTCAACCTTTCAAATATTACGCAGGTAGTACGTAGCCTGAGGTCTAAACTTTCCCTTCTAGCCTACGTCTTGACCAGAACTTGTTACAAAACTTTCATGCCGTCAACAAAGCGTAGATGCTGTTCACGGTCATATTGACCGCGGGGTACAGCTTGACGCCGTACTTAATTAGAATTTACCTGTCATCGAAGTGCTGGGAACAGACGGCGGAGTTCTCTTGAAGGCGTTTATCCGCCCTTGGAATTGCACGATCCCATTCTTCAAAAAGAGAGGCGTTGGCTGGTGCTCGAAAGAGTGAGTGTTTCTCTTTTCAGGAATTGTAGCCGGCGTCGCACCCTGGCACAAAACACCACCGCTCAGTTTTTTTCTTGGCTCTTTTCGACATCGTCGTCAGTTCCTTGGAAGTTCAGCACAAGAATCGCTACCATACAGTAACACAAGTACGCAGCGCACCCCAAAAAACAACGTTCAATCGCACTCAACGCGCCACGCCAGCCTCGCTGCGTCGCACACCGCACCGGCCTCCCAGCCCCGCTGTGCCTAGCAGCGCCAAACCACAGCCTTGCGGAACATTTGAGCGGAGGGACACCTGCGCCCCGTGGAAAGAGCGGAGCGGTCGGCACACCTCCCCGTTCTAGTACACCTTAGCAGGGGCAGCCGCACCGGCCGCACAACCCGAAAACCCGAAGCGAGTGCGAGTGCCGCACGAACGAAAACGGAAAATAATTTGGAGTAGTTTACATTATCTTTTCCTTTTTATTGAAAAAGAATGGTGTTCCCTCGAAATCATAACGCCACTATTAGTTACTAGCTACAAAGACGTACACTTTTCGACTTTTTTTTTTTTTTTCAGGGGCCGCACTATTCTGTGGAGCGAACGTAGTCGCGGTCGGCTGTGCAAACCGGCGCGCTAGCTTTGACTACGTCGCACGCTATGTTTGAAACGGAGTATAGAGGATTCGCGTTCATTCTCGCACCAGACATAACTTTCCCTCTGCTTTGTTATTCTCGAAAGTGCCAGTTCATCCACGCCCCGAGCGCGCGACGCTCGAACTTTTTTTGTCGAACTTTCGAGATAGTGACGCAAGGTAGATAAGCAGCTGCCCGCGACCTTGTCGAGTCAGTCTCGCTAGCGCTCTGTAGTGCCGCCGAATCGCCGCCCGCTTTTCTGCTGCCTTGACGCTCTTCCGTTACTTATTTTCGTTTGGCACAAGTTCGCCAATTAAACCTTTATCCTTCAGTTCATTGTTCGGCTTCTCGTCAACTTCATTCGTGACAATATATATAGGACTTTAAGAACTCATAAGTTTCATTCTCAAAACTGCGCTGGAAAGGGTAAAATATATTGTCTCCTCCGCGACATCTGTTTGAAACCCCTTAGCGAAAAAATAGTAACGTTCCAACGCCAGTGCCCGAAATGTCTCGGAAAATGTGTTTGTCACCTGTCGACCGGTTCAAACTACTTCTGTCTTTCCATGTAACGTAATTCCCTTTTTCTGGTGAAGTTCTGATGGATTTCTAAATTGTCCCTAGCTCCAAGGCTGTACAGATCCAATTCCGCATTGCATGAACTCTGGAGAGAGTTGTACACGTTCAAAGCCGGAGACGCTAGAGAATTTTAGTATTCAATATACAGCGCACGTGTGCCGTCGCCCACCGCCAATCAAAGACGTAGTTTGAGCTCCACGCAAGTGTGCGGTTGGGACACGCAAAGCTTACGCGCGGTGCCTGCGTTTGCTCCTGTGCGCTATACTAATACTCACTATTAGCAGTTGGTTTTAGGTTAGCGTACGCAAAAAAAAAACTTTGCGAACGCAAATAAGTTTTACCGTCGCCACTGCGTATATGCCAAGCCAAAACCACGTTTTGGGTTGGAGCAAGACGAAAATGCTATTTCATTGTGTAGGCAAAAAAAAAAAAAAAAAAATAAGAAGCTACAGTAGTTCAATTTGTCGCTGCGCGGTGATTTTTCAGTTGTAACCAGTGTTTTATTTAAGCATAAATGTAATGGCTTAGCACAAAATTCGCTAAACTGTAAAAAAACAAAGAAAAGCGAGCGGCAATTCAATTGTAGTAAACACGTATTTTCCACAAATTTGACTGAAAAATAAAGAATAAGCATTACAAAGCCATTTTGTAAACAAATAAGAAAATCCTGCCGAACTTGATGTTCCCGGTTTTGTTACTAAATAATAATAAAGTCAGAAGTAATGGAAAGTTCCGTTCGTTAGTCATGAATGTAATAGTAGCGGTATTGTGTTTCGTTTGCAGGACGATAAAGAATCTCAGCAACGTGTTAATTTTTGACGAACTAACGAAGAACGCGCTAGTTCGTTACTTTTCTTTTTTTTTTGAGTAACGGACACGGGGAGAGAATAAAGATGAAGTATGATTCATTCATGACGGGGGCAGAGGCACCAGGGGTCATACAGTTCAGTAACAGCTAATAACAACTAGATGAACTGTCTAGGCTTTGCTTCAAAGCCAGAGTATCGCGTTCCTTCTCCTTTCAGCGCCAACTCCGTATTGGCGGAGAAGCAGTCACGTGCACCAAGCTGAATCCGATCTTCGTGCGGGAAAGCGACCTTGCAGGCGGTGAGTTTCGGGCGGATTATGTTTCTCACTTCGCGTATGCGAAATATACATCCTACACTAAAATACGACAAGCTGGAAGGTTCTTTGACCATTCAACATTATGTGTAACCACTGGATACAGTATAATCGCGTTGTTTCAGAGCGCGAGCGATGTTTTAAAAGATGTTTTCAATGTCTGGGAAGAAGACGACACGGAGGACGATTGCTCGCGCATCCGGGGCTTTTTGCAGGAACGAGCGTCGTTTCCCCCAGTGCGGCCTTGGATCCAACATGGCCGCCCTTTAAGCACCATTGCGGTACTTCGCTCTGCAAGGCGGAGCATATGAAGTCACTCTAGTTACAACCAAATCATTGCAAGAAGGCAAGTTCGTTTTTACTCAAAGCCACCGACGGCTGGCTAACGCGGTGATCCGCCAACTCCCAGCATTAGGCGAACCGGGGTATTTTTACAAAGATCGGGGGAGGGGGGGGGGGGGGGGGGGGGGGGGGCGTTGTATTGTGTCCTGTCTCGCGCCCGTCCTGAGTGATATTTTTTGTTGCGACGATTGACCGTGCTATTGCTCTAGCTCTTGAGTCCACGCCAGTATTTAACGCGTTCCGATAGGCAGATGTTCCAATTTCACTCTACAAAAAGGGTGCAGATCGAGGTGTTGCTAGTGCGATCATGGACATTTTTTAGACGTGTGGTTTTAGCCTTATATTTACTTTCGTGGAGCTTAAGGAAGGGGAGTTAAAATGTTCAGAGATGGCCTTCTCATTGCACTTCTGCTGGTCATTCTCATCCCGTTCCACAAAACATGTCCTCGCACTCCACGGAAGTGAAGAGAGGCATAGCTCGCTCCCGCCTCACTTCATTCTTAAAAAAATAGCCGTATTTACATGTCACTAATTGTTGTTTCTTGGGCCAAATCGATAGACTAAGTCCTAATGAGGTCTTAATGGAAGTGGTAGAAACGTTGGTAAAATAGGTAAAAGAGGATGAAGAAACTAGGCTCCCTGTTGACAAAAAAAACGGGTGGTGGTAATGCCATACCTACACAAAATATAACATCATCTAAAACAAGTGGCAAGCAGGTATGGTGTGTCTTTAGTACTCCCAGCCCCCGAAAATGCGAAAAATTTGTTTCAAGGTTCGCGCAAAAGCGGGAAAATGATCAAAACAGACGCGCCACAAAAAATACCTCGGCTTTTTGTTCCCTGTTCGTCGCGTGGTTGTATATCTTATTCCCCTCTCCTGTGGACTGTGCTTCGTGGGACAAACTGGATGGTGTCTGAATGACCGGCGGTGAGAGCATAATCTTTCTTTAACAACAACTGTAGGAGGTCACCTTTCGGTACATCGTAAGAGTTGTGCATGTTCACCATTTCTAGAAAAAAAACACCAATCGTTGGGAGGTTCAAAAAAAATAAATAAAAGCACGCAAGGTGCTCAAGGCGTTTGCCATCTTGGGATTGGGCAATCGCTGCGTTAGTCATCCGTGGGTGGCTTTGAGTGAAAAATAAGTTTTTTTTTTGTTTTTCTTTTTGTTTTACAATGATTTGGCTGTGACTAAACTGTGTTCCCCCTGGCGCCGGAGTCCTTTGTCACGAATAACGCTTGTTTTATCTTACTTTTATTCACCTCTTATACCGCACTTTTGTGTTCTGTGTTCTTTCCTCTTTGTCCTTGTTTCTTTGTACGCTAGTTTTCATCATGATCAATGTTTACAACTCGCCCCGCGTGCCACCTTACTGCAGTTCAGGCTATTTGCTTTAGGAGCTCTGCTGTTAGTTTTTAGTAGAAGAATTTCAGATGTGCTTTATGAGGTGTGGGAAGTGCTGCCCGGTGTTGCCTCTCGTATGTGATGGTGGGGGTCTTACGCCCTTGTTATCGTTCCCCTAGTCTGGATATGTATTAAAAGGAGGAGGGGGTGAAAGTGAGAGAGAGAGAGAGGGGAACGATTAGCGTCCTGCCGTAGATAAGGTGCTTGTGCAATGGGCGACAATGACGGGGAGAGTCAGAGCACGCCGGCTCCCTCTCTCTTGCCGCGATTGCCTGGGTTTTAGATGGTCCAAAATGTTGTCTAAGATGGCGAGATGCCAGCGGCCGTTTGCGTTTGACAGTTCTCTTTTATCTCACCGCGTTCGCAAGCACACAGATATACACAAAGCATCAAGACCAACAATATAGAAACAAAGAGAGCAAGAGCGAGAGCGAGAGACAGAGATAGATAAATAGATAGAAAGAAAGGTAGAAAGAGAAAAAAAGAAAGAAAGGAAGAAAGAAATGCTTGAACGTGTCCGAATGGAGTGAAAAGCAACCTGGAAGCAGGGGCACAAAATTTAGTATGGTAGAACGTTGGGCGGGTTGGTGGTACTTGTTTAACGAGAAAGTAAAAAAAAAACGATGCAAAAAAAAAAAACAAAAAAAACAACAAAACAACGCAGGACAAGAAGACGAAGTGTACACAGCGCTCTGTTTTGTACACTTCGTCTTCTTGTCCTCCAATTTTTTGGCGCTGTTTTACTTTTTGGTCAAGCTCAAAGTATATACTGTAATAACGTTGATTTGACCGAGTGGTGGCGTACGCGACCACCTGACCCCCGTCTAATAGGAGAAGAGTAGCCGATGTCGTCGTCCATCTTCGCAAACACCGTGGCGAGAGAAAAATGCCCGCCAAGAAGCCGACATCGGGATCTGATACGAGGGTGCTCCATCTCTCTATCCAGAAGTTCGAGCTCGGCGGCTCGTACGGTGTCAATAACAACAAGAACAAAGAACAATAGAAATCATGCTAAGGGGCAAATCCGCCTCTCCTGACACCGCCTGCAGAAGAGCGAGTATCGTGAATAAAGAGAAAGAAACGAAAATGAGGCAGCTGATAGCTTCACTTTAGCTTTTTGTTTGAACGGCACGCGTGGCCTTAGGGCTGCTAATACGGAAGCGACAGAAAGTTTACTTCGCTCCTTCTCCAACCAACGTGACAAAGGGCTAACAGGTTTTTCCAACATAGCACAATGCGCCTCGTTGTCAACCTCTTTTTGCTTTTGAAGGTCATCCATCGAC